GGCTTGAATGTATGGTCTGTCCCGGGCAAAGAGTAACTTCTTAGAAAACCCCAGCAGTCACTGAGAAGTTCAATGACTTCCTGAGCCCAGCTCTTGGTGTGATGTGATCCAATTGGTGGTGTTACTTCTGGTTTTCGTCTTGTTCACAATAGGATTTGGAGTAGTTTACAAAGGTTAACAAAGTCCAGGGAGTCAGGGAAGGGAAAATTAAGAAAAAGCCACAGGACAGAGTGGAGCATGTGGTGAGGTCAGCCTCCGATTGTGCTGCTGTGGCTGCGGTGGGGTGGAAGCTGAGTCCATCTCCTGAAACTGCCGGCCCCGAGCCTCACGGCGCCCGTTAAAAACTCTGATTTCCACCTCCACTCACGGACACCTGGGTGCAGTGGGCCTGGGCTGGGCCCCGGAACCTGGGTTTCCAGCAAGTGCCCAGGGCAAGTCCTGTGATGGGAGTTTCAGGAACGATGCCGGCCACGTGTCCTGAGGCTGTGGGCAGGGCAGGTGTCTCTGAAACCCAGGGCGCTGCCAGTCTGGGATGCCTGGGCTCCTGCTGTGGGCCTGGGTATTGGAGAGCTGGCAGGCGGAGGTGAGGGCCTCAAAGCTGGGGGGGGTGCTCTTTACAAGGACATGGCTCTTCCACGACAGTCTCAGGTGTCTGAGCTTCCTCACCTGCTCAGGGGCTTCACCTGCATCCTGGGGGTTTCCCGGAAGGTGACTGGGTCAGGGGAGCTGCCGACGCAGAGAAAGCAGGCCCAGGAGACCAGGTGGTCCAGGCTCTTTGGGTCGTGCCCTCTCTGTGGGTGCTGGCTGGTGTTTTGCACGAGGCAGGTGGTGCAGAGGCAGGGTAGCTGCTAGGGGCCTCCTTGGGAAAAGGTGATGGTCAGTCAGTACCTGGGGCAGGGCTTGTGGTCGGCCCCAGCCACTCTCTCCCCCAGCATCTCTGAGCCCAGCCCTGCTAGGTGCCAGCACCTGATGTCCCAGAGGACCCAGGCTTCCTCCCTGGGGTGTGGTCCTGCTTACGGTACCTGCTCTAACAAGGAACCAAGTGCCAGCCCCCTGAGCCCTGGCACTGCCTCTGAGTGGAGCCTGGTACTGCCTTGGGGTCTGGGCGGGGGTTGCCCAGAAGCTTTGGGGCAGGAAGAGAGTAGGATGAGGCCTCTCAGACGATCAGGACGGGCTGGCTCCAGGGAACTGGATCTGAGGCGTGGAGCTGGGGAGTGTGTTCCTTCCACATCCCCTGGAGAGGGCGGAGCGCTCCCTACCCCCTTATCACTAGCAGGGCTTCAGCATCCCCAAGCCAGGAGAAGGGGGAGTCCACACCGATATCTCCCCATGCTTCTTCATGTGGGCCAAACGTCCTCACTTCCCCCCAGTCCAGTTGTACATGTTGTGCACTGCCAAGGGCCCTGGCAGAGGGCCAAGTTGGAGCTGAAATCCAGCTGTGGCATGGCCCTGTGGGCTGCACACAGCATATGAAGGCTGCACTGGTCAGCAGCTGCTCAGTCTGAGAGAGATCCTGGATCCCCATGTGGCGTCTCTGGGCCTGAATTCTCTCTTAACATAAAGAGGACACCTCCTTGTGAATTGCTAAGGAATTTGAACAGAAGAGGGCCGTGAAAGCTCCCAGCACCATGCACTGTCCAGCTGAGTCCAGCACCTGGAAGCTGCTGTCAGCTAGGTCCCTCGGACACTGCTGTGGGCTGGTCTGCCCTGTCGGGCCTTCACCGCTCAGAGCTGCAAGATGGATTCACCACTTTCCTCTGTGCGGTCTCAGCCTTCCAGATGGTCAGAGACTGCTGGTGCCTCCCTCTACCCTCCCGTTGCTGTCCTCCAGGGCCTCATCTCTGGGACTTGTCTGCCCTGCCACCCCTCACATTGACACAAATGTGTACGCAGATGCACACATGCCTGAACACAAAGACACGTGCACGTGCACAGATGCACACACACACAAGCACGTGCACAGATGCACACACAGACATACACATGCACACAGATGCACACAGACACACACACACACATGCTACAGCATGTGCACACAGACACACACACACACCCTGCACACCCCAAGCCTCGTCTGCTGTCCCTGCTGTGCCTGCTTCCTTTAGGCCCTGACACCACCCTCCCCAGGGTCTCCCAACTGCCCTGCCTGGACACAGAGAGGGGTCCTGTGAAGTCAGGCGTTGAAGGGCTGGGGGTCTCTCAGCCCCTGTGGAAGCCTCACTCCAGGACTGTCCCTCCCTGGCAGAGCATTCAGGACCAGCAGCCCTTAGCCCTGCAGTGTCTAGACCTGGTTCTAGGGAGCCGGGAGCCGGGGGAGCTGGGGAGCTGGGTCAGGACCCACACACCTTTGACTGGGACCCATTTGACATGAGACCGTGGGTATCATCCCTGAATTAAATCTTGATTTCAGAATTTTGGAGTTTACCAAAAGGACTTATTTCTCAGTACTTCCAAAGTTTCTATTTTGTTTTAAAATAATAAACAATACACATCTGAACTTGTGAAAACAAGCTTATACGAATACTATTCCACAGCCTCCCACCCCAGCCGTCTTTCACAAACTGTGAGGGTCAGGATGTTACTGGCTGGGACCCCATAGCCCCCGGGCCTCCCTGATGTCCAGGCTCCTCTGTGGGAAAACTGGGCTGACGTGATGCTCTGCAGCGAGGGACACCAGGGGTGGCTGGAAGAGCCAGTGCATGCCTGGACCCTCACCTGGGTGGGGTGTGGCATGAGGGCACTGTGAGTGCTGGGGCCTGGGTCTCGCTGGCCTTGGCCCGTTCCAGTGGCAATGGCTGCCCACCATCTTAAAACCCAGCATGATCTCTGGCCGACTGCTCTGTTGCTTTCTGTATTCTGTTTATTTTCTGAGAATCAGAAGAAGATACTAGTTATCTGCTCCAGCCTAACCCTCCATAAAGCCTGATTTCCCATTGTCAGCACCCCGTTCCTTTCGACTAAAGACGGCTCTGTTTAGGTTCCTCCTGAAAATGATCATCGGCCTGGGAGGGCTCCTGCTTCAGGATCCTGAGGTGGGGGACGGTGAGAGATCCCTGCCTCCTGTTTGGGGCAGGTGGCCGGGGGTCGGTGGTGACTGCTGCAGAGGTCGCAGGCTGAGCACACGGCTCACAATTCTGCTCCCCATCCCCTGTCACCTAAGGCATCTAGCTGCTTTCCAGCCATCTTTTATTTGGGGTCGTATCAGGAGTAATCTTGTATCAGATCCCATTACCCTGGGGCCTTCTGCCTTCAGGGCTGGGGGGTCGGTGCCTGGTCCCCAGGGAGAGGCCTGGCTGGACCATGGGCTGGGCCTCGAATCTGTAGGAACTGGCTGGTGTTATTGCTCCCAGATTTATTTTTTGAATCTCTGTGAAAAGGAAAAGCAAATGAGTGCATGTGAGGCAGGAGGCAGCTCGGGGCGGGGAAGGAATCGCCTCTGCAGCTGGCGAGGAAGCGGGTTTCCAGGAGAACACTCCTGGGGGAGAGGGCCCCACTCACCTCCAGGAGGAAGCAGCACAAGGGCTGACTCCAGGTCACCCCTGGGGCAACAAAGGTCAAAAGGTGGGTGCACCTGCTCCAGGCCGGTGGCTGCCGCAGGACAGACGGCTCCCGCCGCCTGGAGCTCACGTCCCCCTCCCCGTGCTGGGCCTGCACGGAGGCCCCCGAGCTGAATCAGCAGCCGGGGAACTATCCTGGCTGCAGTCTTCGCTCTCGGCTTCTTTTCTCTGTTCCTTTTTGTTTGTTTTGAGAGAAGATCTCACTCCGCTGCTCAGGCTGGAGTGCAGTGATGACATCCTGGCTCACTGCAGCGTTGACTGCTGGGCTAGGGTGATCCTCCCACCTCAGCCTCCTGAGTAGCTGGGACCACAGGCACACGCTGCCATGCCTGGCTAATTTTTATTATTTTTTTTTTAGAGAAGGGGCCTCCCTGTATTGTCCAGGCTGGTCTTGAACTCCTGGGCTGAAGCAGTCTTCCCACCTCCGCCTCCCGAAGTGCTGGGGCTACAGGTACGAGCCACACGACCGGCCTCCCGAAGTGCTGGGGCTACAGGTACGAGCCACACGACCGGCCTCCCGAAGTGCTGGGGCTACAGGTACGAGCCACACGACTGGCCTTGATTCATGTCTTAACTTGGTCAACCTGGTGGACAAAAGGAGTGTTATCTATTGGGGGCTTCCTCAGATACCCCAACAGCCATGAGGAGGAGGAAGAGAAGGAGAGGGAAGGAGACTGGGGAGGAGGAGGGTGGAGAGAGGGAGGGGCTGGTGAGGCGAAGGGGGAAGGGCGAGGAGGAGGGGCAAAGGGGGAATTTCCGAAGGGTCTGGGCTGCTGAGACAACAGTGAGCTGCAGCTTCTCCCACATGCACGTGGCTGGACCTGCTGCCCCTTCCTGCTCGGGAGGGAGGTGGGCCTGGCCGTGCAGATGTGGGAGGTGCGGGTGAGTGGGCGCCTGGTGAGGGTTCAGTGGAGCCAGCGCTGGGTCCTCCTGCCAGGTCAGCCCATGTGCCTTGGACCCAGGAGGTGCAACACGGTGACCCCATCTCTGTGGCGCTGGAGGGCTCAGGGTTGTCAGCGAAGAGACACTAGGGCAGACGTGGCTTGATGGCCGGGGACGTCGCTAGTGCGTCAGCACCACACCGAGGCCAGGCCTGGTTCTCACCCCAAACAGAACAGCTTGCTCCGGCCTTCCCAGCCACCCTGAGCACCTGGTCCCTTACTGCCCCCCCGCCCCCCTCAACAGGGCAGAAGGCTGATGAGTGGTGCGTGTGAGTCGCAGAGTCAGCGAGTGGGAGGAGGGCCCCGAGGTGTGGGCCGGGCCACAGGCCACCGTCTGGGTCTGCAGGTGGTGCTCCTCTCCCGGCTGAGTGTGGCCGGGGCTGGTGGGAGCCGCGGGCGGGAGGGTGGTGCCTGCCTCCCCACGAGCCATTCCCACGCCTTCAGAGATGGAGATTCATCTCCAAGGGTAATTTAGCAGGAGTGGAAAGAAAAAGAGCTGCGATGATCGTGCGGCTGGATTTATTAAAACGGAAGCGGGGGGTGGGGGGCAAAGGCAGCGACTGCATCCGGAAGAAGCTGTTTCCAGCGGCCTGATGAATTAAACAAGTTATTCCTATATTGTAACTGTAATTATGTCAGGAAATAAAATAGAGATGAGAGTGCATGTTCAAAAAAAATGGTTTTGAATAAGGAGTTGGGCGTTTCAAACGCTACGGTTTGCAGCGAATGGAGCCACAGCGCCGACCTCTTCAGACTGAGTCCTGCCCAGGAGTGAGAGGAGGCCCCAGGCGCCTGCAGAACCTCCCGGAAATGGGAGGGACTTGGCCTGACGGGCCGAGCGGTCCCTGGGCACCTGAATGTCCTCACTCCCCCTGTTCTTCTTTATTCGTGGCCTTTTATAAATAAAAATGAACATCAAATCCTTCACCTCATTTAAGTCTCATTAGCAGAAATTAGCAGAAATGTTCACCAGCAGACTCAGCTCTTCACAGGGTCTCATTCAGATGCTGGGGCTGGCTTGGTGCCCCTTAGCACCTAGGGGGTGGGGCTGGGCTCAGAAAGGCGCCCTCACGCCCAGCCCAGAGGATCCCCTGCACCCCCCACTGGGCTTTTGGAACTGGGTCCCAGGGAGCAGCCATGGAGGGGCTGAGCGTGGCCTCACCGGTGTGGCCAAACTTGGATGTGGTTAGGAGCCTGGAATTTGATGTGACTTTAAGGATGTTGAAAATCACGTGACCACTAGATCCAGACACATGGAATTAGGAACCACACACAGTGGCGTGCAAGAGCCTGGTGATTTCTGCATGTCCAGTGCACGGGCATGTGCGTGCATTTGTGTGTCTACACAGACGCATGACTTCGTGAATGGAGATGCGTGTGTGGGCATGTGCACTGTGTGTGTATACACGTACCACCACGTCTACAGACACGTGTAGATCTATCCAGGATTTCCAAGTGTCAATTAAATACAACCCCATATTGCCCCAGAAGAGTCTCAAAGAGACTCCCAAGGACTTCAGGTTCCTCCAAGGAAAGAAATCGCTCAGCCCCATCAGGATCCGGCCAAGAGAGAATTTGTTACTTCATCCTCCCTCCCTCTTGCCACTCCAAGGTGTTCAGATGTCTGCTGAACATCTCACTCTCTTCTTTCTCTTCTTTTGACCAAAACTTTGGAGACAAAGTTTGCAAAACCGGTAAAAGACCAGAGGTAAGAAAGATGTCAGCAGGTTGCTGAGAGCTGCATTGCCCCAGGAAACACTGGCCTGAGGCACACGCAGAAACTCGCAGCCTCCGCCAGCTCCTGCCCTGCTTGGGAAAGTCCAGGTCAGGCCTGATGGACACACCCAGGGAGGAGAGAGGCCTCGAGGCTGTCTCTCCACAGAAGCGCAGGGCCTGGCCTCCTCCATAAGGACGAGGGCTGAAGGCTGCAGGTGTGGGAGGCTGTGAGGTGGGCAGCAGGGATGGTCGGGGGCTGGGGAGGGGAGGGATGTGGGGTCCCAGAGCAGGAAGCTGTGCCGTAGCAGGAGGCCTGGCATCCCCTTACTGGCCCCTGCCCAGCACTAGCATTCTGCAAACACTGGCTGCTTAAAGAGAATGGAGACAACAGTGCACTTCCTGGTGGAGCCTCACGGCTGCCCTGAGAACTCTGGCTGCCTCTCAAGCTGCGCGGGAGTGAAGGTGAGGGCGTGGAGCGGCTCCGGCCCCAGTGCTCCGTGAGGTGCTGCTCCTCATGGCTGCGATCCCTGCGGCTGCCATCCCACTTTCCAGCAGAGGAAGCTCAGGCTCCAAGAGGGGAAGGAAGGTCCCTGTGGCCACATGGCTGGATGGAGCATTTGAACCGACTTCTGTCTGCCCCAGTCCGTGCTGGGGTGTGCAGGTGCTGGGGGCTACACAGAGCTGAGGAGGCCGTCAGGGCTCCCGGGCAGATGACCGGGCTGGGTTTGCACCCCAAGTCTGTGCCTAGACTGGGCTGGGTTTGTACCCCAAGTCTGTGCCTAGAGCCTGAAGGGCATGCATCAGGTCAGGGTCTGGTCAGGACCCTGCAGGGGAGTGAGGGGCCCTGGGGACTTGTGTGGGTGCCGTGCCTGGGCCTGGGGACAGCAGCCTTACCTGGACTTTGCCTCTGTCTCTGGCTCCTGCTCTGGATAATGGGCCAGCACCTGGCTGCAGCGGTCAGAGGTGAGCCTGGAGTGTGCAGAGCCGCCTCCTGGAGTGCTCACGAGCTCAGGGTGAGAAGACTGGATGCCACCTTGGTGCGGAGAGACTGGGAAGGGCCCCCCTGCAGTCCCTCCAGGCTCTGCCCTGGTCTCCACCCTGGCGTCTCCAGGACTGACCGGCCAGGCTCTCCTCTCTCTTCACCCCTCAGTGTGTGCAGCTACTCCTTCCTCTGCTCCGCCCCATGGGAACAGCTCTGGCTCAGGGGCCCTCTTCTGAGGGAGAGTGGGAGGGCCCCCAGGCCTGGCCTGAGGAGCCCCGACTCCTGCCCTCTGGCTGTGACAGCTGCGGGGATTTGGGGCAGGGGGTGAGTGAAGGAGCACGATGCTGGGGTGGCGAAGCCCAGATGTCGTGTGTCTGGATGCCACACAGTTGCAAGCAAGGCCTCTGTGGAACCCCCAGGCCGCTCTGGGACTGGAGGGCCCCACAGGGTGGTCCCTTAAGGGGCCAGTGGGAGAGCCTCATGCCCCTCTTAGACCAGTCATGGGGTGGGTCATGTCCCTGGGAAGGGCACTGGCATGGGCCGGGGGCATCTGGTTGAGAGCAGTTCATGGAGAGAGGCCTGGCTGTGAGCCCTCAGCAGCCCAGCTGCCAGCCACTGGGAGCCCCAATGTCCCTGTGGGGCTCCTGGCCTCTGATGCGTGGCCCAAGGCCGGAGAGTCTGTGACTTCCCCTGACTTCCCTTCATTCACAGCCACCTTTTCACAGGGAACATCTAATCCTGAAAAACAGAAGGATGAGTGCAAAGTAGTGGGATTACTTTTTTTTTTTTTTTTTAAGAAAATCGAGACCACAATAGTTATGTATCAGTGACTTCCTTCAAAGCAGGTACCCCAGAGAATACAGAGAGAGGCTCAGGGGTGCAGGGAGAAGACAGAGACAGAAGGAGGCAGAGAGAGACAGAGAGAGAAGAGGCAGACGGAGACAGAGAGGGAGGCATGGAGAGACAGAGAGAGGAGAAGAGACAGATGGAGACAGGGAGGCAGAGAGAGACAGAGAGAGGAGAAGAGACAGATGGAGAGAGAGAGGGAGGCAGAGACTTTGTGTGTAACACATCCTCCCTTGAAAGAGAAGCAAAAGGAATCGGAAAAAATGTTTGCAAACTCTTCATCCAACAAGGGACTAATGCCCAGAATTTACAAGGAACTCACTCAGCTTAACAGCAACAAAAATAATCTGATTTTAAAATGGGCAAATTTCAGCAGGTCATGGACTAAAAAAGTAAAAAATAAGAAAAATGAGCAAATGATCAGAGTAGATGTTTCTCAAAAGAAGACCTACCAGTGGCCAGAAAATATACGAGAAAAGACCCAGCATCACTCAGGGAAATGCATATTTAAAACCACAATGAGCTACCACCCCACACCTGCTAGAATGGTTTTTATCAAAAAGGCAGAAGATCACAAAGGCGGGGAGGCGGAGAAAAGAGGGCCGTGGGCACTGTCGGACTGTAAGTGAGGACGCCTGCTATGGAGAGCAGCTGGAGTTTCCTGAAAACACTAAACATAGAGCCACCTTAGGATCCAGCAGTCCTGCTGGGCATACGCCGCAAAGAAAGGAAATGTGTGTATCGAAGACGTACCTGCATGTCCCTGTTCATTGCAGCAGTATTCACGACGGCCAAGATCTGGAATCCACCTCAGTGGCCATCAGCGGATGCACGGATAAGGAAAATGTGGTGCGCAGGCACAGTGGATGCTATTCAGCCAGAAAAGAAAGGAATCCTGTCATTTCAGCTGCATGGGTGAGCCTGGAGGAATTGGGGAAATAAGCCAGGCACAGGAAGACAAACATCTCAGGATCTCACTCATGTGTGGGAGTGGAAAAAGCTGAGCTCGAGGCGATGGTGATGGACTGGTGGCTGACTGGGAAGGGGGTAAGCGTTACAGCCAGACGGGAGAATAAGCTCGAGTGTTCCTGGCGCTCCACGCAGCTGTGGTTGGTCGACAATTTATTCCATGTTTTCAGATAGCTGGAAGAGGGGCTTTTGAATGTTCCCAGCACAAAGAACTGACAAAGGTTTGAGGTGACGGGCACGTGAACCGCCCTGATCTGACTATCCCACATCATATAGGGGCATCGAAACGCCACCCTGTATTCCAGAAACGTGTGCAATTATTGTGTGCCAATTAAAAAAAGCAGAGCAAGGAGAGAGGGAGGGCGAGCTGGGCTGTGGAAGTGGAATCAGACTCGGAGCCGGCCTTTCCTCCCTGCCTCCTTCGACGCTGAGACCTGACGTCACTCCCGTGCCGTTCCCAGCCTTCCTTCAGAGCCCCTGCGTGCCCCCAGGAGCTGTGTGGTGGGGTTGAGGATGGCCACATCCCGGGTGCCTCCGACTGCTGCAGGCCTCCCAAGACCACTTCATACTTCTGCGCTGACCAGGCCACGAGCCACCATTGCCTCTGCAGACCACTCGGCCGCTACTGGGGTGTGCACAGCAGCAGGCTTTCTGCACCCAGAGAGGCGGCAGCAGGAGAGCCGCAGAGAGCACGGGAGCTTCTCCACCTCGCCTGGCCCCTCACGTGTGGAACGCGTCCCCTCCAGACTGGAGGGTGCACATCTTGGGTTGCAGGACATGTGCCCCCAGGGCTGGGCTGCGTGGTGCAGGCCAAATGCTCCCAGCTCACCTGAGCACTGTCCTGTGGAGGTGACCACAGAGAAACGACCTGATGGCCAGAAAACCCACCGTGATATTTACCAACTGCACTCAACTGAAAAAAGCAAATTCCCTAAACCGTCTTGTTTGTCTAATAAATGGAGCGACATGAATGGTTAAGACCAGTTTCTAAACAAATGCCTGAACAGAATGAAACCCAGCCATTGTTTAGGAACAAAGGTATAATCAAATCCTCATTTTCTATTCCAATAAACTCTTTGAATTAATGTCTATTCGGCTCATTATGAGGGTTTTTTTTATTAGTGCTCTCCATGATTACTAACGCACGAGACACAGGCTCCGTCTAACGTGGCCGGTGCTTCCCCAGGGAGCGCCCTGGGCTGGCTTCCTGCCTGCGCTGAGCAGCCAGAGCGGGAGGAGCCCAGCAGAGACGGAGACAGTGGGGAGGGGAGCGGAGAGAGACAGTGGGCGTGCAGGTCTGTTTTTAAAAAGTATTCAGTTAATTTTGTAGACAAATAATTAAACTTCCGGGAGCTGTCCTATTAGTTTACTCGGCCCAGTAACATATATTCACAGCATCCATTTCAGTCCCAGGTCTCAGCAGGAAAAACCCCACACGTATGCAGTGGTAGGCATGCTGGTCTCCGCGGAGTCTGGACCAATGCTCTGACCTGCCACCTTCACTTTAGATGCTTCCAAGGCTCATGCTCTTCCCAGTCACCCGGCAGCAGGGTGCTCGGGGCCACCACACCCAGCTGTCCCGAAGCAATGTGTGCAGGACCCCGGCCACGGAGGCAGACAGACTCCGGACAGCCCACTCACCCACCGGCGGGGCTGCGGCGGCTCCCAGGTGGGGAGTGTGACCTCGAGCTTTCAGAGGAGGCTGGAAGTTCCGTACTGCCACCGATTCCACGTGAGAGCAGGTGTGTGGTGTGGGGAAGTGATTCTTTCCCGGGGTAGTCGGGAGCTGGTGGTGCAGGCATGGGGCTGGAAGAGTGACAGCAGAGGCAGGGATGGCCCCAAAGGAGCCAGAGTCAGAGTTAGGCCCCAGAACCTCACACCTGAGGGCTCAGAACAGCCACGAGAGGTGGGCATCTTTAACGAGACTTCATCTACCCACAAGGCCTGTGGGCCTCTGTGCACGCGTGTGCATTTCCAAGGAATTCCAATAAGCCCCATTCCAAGACCCCGAGGAAAACAGATTTACGGTCTCGTTATTAAGTTGGTGCATTTCTTTTTTTGTGTGTTTGTTTTGAGCCAAGGCCTTGCTCCCCAGCCTGGAGGGTAGTGGCACAATCTCAGCTCACCGCAGCCTCAGACTCCCTCCCAGGCTCAAGCAATCCTCCCATTTCAGCATCACCTGCCACCCGGTAGCTGGGCCTGCAGCTGTGTGCCACCATGCCTGGCTTTTTTTTTTTTTTTTGGTAGAGACAGGGTTTCACCACGTTGCCCAAGCTGATTTTGAACTCCTGGACTCAAGCAATCCTCCCTCCTCAGCCTCCCAAAGTGTGAGCCACTGTGTCTGGCCTGGTGCATTTCTTATGCATAGAATTGCAATACACAGATCTTTCGTTTTCTTTTTGTGAGATCACGTCTCACCACATTAAAAAAAAATCAGTCTTAAGCAACAACTTTGTAAAAATCATCACTGAATCGCTGGATGAGAAGTCCCGTTGTGTTGAAACAGTGAATGGCTACGAGCCCCTAACGCAAGCCCCAGGCCCCGGTGACTCGCGGGAGGGAGGAGACCATCATCCTGGCACCTTGCGGAGTGTCCTGCTGTGAACTCAGGGTGCCGGCCTGCCTTGCCTGTGATGCAGGCTGCATGGCCAAGGTTTGCAGCTCAGTGCCTGCACACTGTAAAGTGGGGTGACACGGTCGCGCCCTCCCCACTCCTTGGTTAGCCCATTGCCTCCTTGGTGCCTATATTTTCTAATCCTGAAGCCCGTCCAGGCATCTCTGCGTCTGTGACCTCCCGGTCAAGGCCACGCTAGAAATCCAAGTGCAGAGCCGTGTCGGTGGACGAAAGCCCCCCTGTGGCTGGGGTCTCGACGCTATCTCAATGCCCTCTCGACCCGGACAGGGTGCACGTCCCAGGCCACACGTGCCAGCCAGGAAGGAAGCATTGGATAATAGAAATTTCCGACAAGTCTCCGCCCAGTTGGAACTGGAGCTGGCTATGGGGACGGATGCTGAAATAAGAGCTGTCCCTGGCTAGGACCCACCGTGGAGAGGGGCCCAGGAGGCCCACAGAGCCCGCCTGTGCCATGAGAGGGGCTCCAAAACGGCCCCGGCACGGACGGCCCTCCTCTTCTGGCGCCCATTCCTGCCCTTTGTAGTTCCCCAACCTCTCTTGCATATTTTCATTTTATGAGTGGATTTCTCAGCCCTATCTTCCGTTTCACTGAGTTTCCCGCTCTAGCCAATCTTCCCTTTTACCCAGACATTGAGTTTTTACGGTCAGCTTGTATCACGCGAACACGTATCCCTTAATTTTAAAATAATTGTTCCTTTTCGGTTTCTTTTCTAGAAGTTTTGTTTGGTTCTTTTTCAAGTCTAGTTGTTCTTTTTAAAAATGCAGTTATTCTTTTTATATACCATTTAACATGGTAAAACCGGTTTTATCGCCTTTTCCACATTGGACGACAGTCCCTGAGGGAGTCTATCCCCCGTGGGCTTTGTGATTGTTTATTAGGAGCTCATCTTCAGGGGGCGTCTTTTCTGGGGGTTGCCGAAGGGCACTGAGTGCTTTTGCCTTTACTCATCTTGCGGACCCAAGCGTTTCACGGGGCTTGGATCAGTTTCAACCTTGATATTTCGTCTTGGCTTTCCTGGGCCATGTGGGGAGGGGAAGCTTGATGCCACACCCTCCTGTGGTATATAGGACTTTTTTTTTTCCTGTATGGCAGGACGGGTCTGTCCTCCAAACTCTACTCTTTGTCACGGAGTCCTGAGACAGAGTGTGTGGCAACCGGCTTGGACCGACTTGCAGGCAGATTGTTAAGTTTATAGGAATCTTGTAGGCAGCTTGTTAAATACAGCCATTATTAAAATTTAATTATATTAGCTGACAAATTATATTAAAACACAGATAATAAACACGATGTTTTTTGCTTACACTTGTCATTGTCCCTAGTGGTTGTATATTCTCTGGTTATTTCCAGCTCTTGTGCCTGTGCGGTGGGAACGCTAACGGCTGCCTGTCCCATCGCACTGAGATCATTCACAGAGGGCTTGTTGACATCACGGAAATCGGCAGCCACGACAGACGGGGGGCCTGTCCCATCGCACCGAGATCATTCACAGAGGGCTTGTTGACATCACGGAAATCGGCAGCCACGACAGACGGGGGGCCTGTCCCATCGCACGGAGATCATTCACAGAGGGCTTGTTGACATCACGGAAATCGGCAGCCACGACAGACGGGGCATCACTTTTGCTTTGATTGTCTAGACTTTAATACGTGATGAAGAAGACATTCCTAATGCTGATTACACTTAAGTGTGTGGTGTCTGTAGCCCTTCGATTGTGAGCAGCATGAGGAAATAGAGACCTTCTTCCCTCAGGATTTGACAACTATCATCCCATTTGGCAAACAAAGTTGCTCAGGTCACTCATGAGTGACGTGGAGTAAGTTCTGATGTATTCTGTTTTATCTTCTTGCCTGTTCAGGTAAATGATGTTAACCAACACTCATGTTGGAACGACACTCATTCCCCAATTGCAATCATAGGTTGGATACGGATACCAGAGTTCCATGAAAATCGGAGGCAGCATTCTGTGAGAACCCGTGGGCTGCATGAAATTGTCAATAGAGCACCGTGTGTGCTGTTGTTTGTAAGCCACGTGCTGCATCTCGTCTATCTGTAAATCGCATGATCTCTGGGAGTCGGCTGTCTGGGGGAGTTGGTTGTTAAACATTCCCTGAAGCTATTTATGCAGAAGCCAGTGGAGGTGTTTAGCACCCGGCCGCCTGCCCCTGTGGGGCTCAGTCCTGACCACCTTCCTGCACTGACCTCCATCTCCCTCTTTGGAATAAGACCTTGAGGAGTTCTCTTTCTTTAGAGTTTGGCTACACATTTTAAAAGTTATTTTAGTACACTCTGTCCAGCATTTCTAACTAATCATATCAGGAGTGGAATATTTTACATGGCATTTCAGCCTGCGCTATTGCCCTCAGCCCTAAATTCGGAAATGCATTCATCCTGAGAAGCTTCCATATTGTCAGACATGCTCACATAAGATGTTCAGTGG